ATATATATTTATAATTTTAATAAATGACAAATTAAAAAGGCATGAACATTTTTTTTGTATCGAAAAAATATCGAACCGTGACACCAAAGTATCGAACCGAACCGAACTGTGAATTTTGTGTATCGCTGCACCCCTAATTATTACATAGTAAGGCGAATTTCAGTGGTCCGGCCCACTGAAGATCAAAGTGGGCTATGTGTTGCCCATGATGAAAAGTTTGACATCTTTAAATTAGTTCTTCATTCTCCACTGTTGCCAAGTGCTGCTCACAGGAGATCATTCTGATTGTAGGGTTTTAATCTTTTGTATAGTTTTACCTAAAAATATAAAGTGATGTATTTAAAAAAAAATGATCTGAATTTAATACATCTGTTCTTTACTGCCATAACTACTGGTCTGAATGTCCACCTTTCTAATAGTCAAACTGTTTAAATGTTCACCCATTTACCTCAGTAGTTCCTCATCGTAGGTGTCAGGCTCATAGGGAAAATCAGGGATGAAGTCCTGACTGAAGAACAGAAAGACGTCAGAACTGCAAAACATGATGAGTCTGAACCTGCCATCAACCTCTAACACTACATCCTAATTTCCAAGGCTCACCTGTAGTCATCACAGCTCCCATTGATGATGTGGTTTGTCCAGCTCTGGTTAGGGCCATTAAAATATCTTACACACAGAAAAGGATTACAAGACAGAAAAATACCCCACTTTCTTAGATCATTGCTTTTACTGTTGGTACTATGACTACTGCCACTGCTGGAATTCTGATAGAGAAGTACCTGTCATGGGAATCAAGTGAGTTGGCAAGCGACATCCTCCTCAATGGCCTTGTAAGTACACAGGGAGAAGCAGTGTCCAGTCAGAGAACCAGTCAGACCAGTACAACTGCTGTTCTACAACCAGTACTATTAACTGTACCACTAAGTGCTCTACAGGGACACTAAAACTAAATACTTATTATAACCTGGACCATAACTACTACTACTACAATCAATATAGGCAGTATAAGCAATACTACAACTCTAAGCTGTAATGTCAAAACCAGTTCAAAAGCAGAACTAAATGCTGCAGCACAAAAATATCTCTGTAACCCAGTACATCACCCAGTAAATGAATTTACTCCAACAAGATCTAACTGCTACTGTAGCCAGAAGCAGAACAACTAGTAGTAAAACATCAAAGAAAAGCACTAAATCTACTTCTAAAACCTGTACAAAGATCAGATGTCCAATCAAGTATGCAACCTGTTTCCTGATTCAAACCTGTTCAGCAGCAGCAGACAGGTGGGGTTTACCTGACTCTGACACACCTGCTGCAGTCCAACACCATGTTTACTGGTTATTCATTATCAGTTTGCAGATAAACAATATTACATGATGCAGGGTGCATGCTGATTAGCTGATGTCCAGATGACTCACATCAGGCATGTTCCTATGTGTTACCTAGGGATGGGTACTGGTATCGGTTCTGACATAAATGGTAGTAACCAGACCGAAAAGCAGCGCACATTTTGGTGCTTTATTTTGGTGCTTTTTTTTCCCCTGAGATGTCACACACTTTGAATTCTAGCCAATCATTTTACCTTTCCAAGGATAGTAGGCGGGCCCAGGTACGTACATTCTTTTAGAGCAGAGCTACAGATTAAAAATGCCCAAAGCGAAGCGGTCAAAAGTCTGGCTGTACTCCACAGCAAAAGATGCAAACTCAGCAGCCTGCAACAAGTGCTTTAAGGTGATACTGTGCAAAGGAGGTAACACCTCACCTGGCGACGCATAGCGGGGGATTTTAAAGCCGAAAAATGCACCGTATTTGATAGCTTGCTGCAAGAGCTCACACCGAGCACATCTACTACAGGTGTGGTGCCTGTAATTGGACCCGGAGTTAGCAACATCCCTCAAGAACCCGAAGATTAGAGTCCTGGCCCCTAGCCCTGCCAGTATAGCAGAAATGATGACAGATGATGATGCAGCAGCAGCCGTTCTTCTCTGGGTGAGTCGCTTAATGTTGTTTGTGTGTAATTTACGTTGAGTAGGCTAACCACGTTATTACATTAATGCATATAAGGTGAACTAGCAAACACCGTCGTAGTTACATGCGGCTGTCTTCTTGTTTGATGGCAGATACTCACTTCACCCTGGCAAAAAAGGCTAAAATGACCAAAGAAAAAGAGGGAAACAGCTAAACATGAGAGGTTTTTGGACGAAAGTTTGTGTGTTTTTTTCCATTGTTTAAGCACTGCTTCCAGCCAAGAGTGATGTCATAAATCCCCTATAGCTGCAGAAAAGGCTAACATTGTTATCTTTTTACAAAAAAACAGCTAAGAGAGGTTTTTGGACAAAGTGTGTGTTCTCCATTCTTTAAGCACTGGTTCGAGCCCCGTTTAAGCACCGGCACCGTTTCAAAAATACCGGTTTGGTACTGGTATCGGATAAAACCTAAACGATACCCATCCCTAGTGTTACCATAGTTACCTGTTCGGGGTGCTGTATTGGCTGGCATCAGAGAATGCTCGGCTCAGTTTGGAGCCCCGCAGCAGCCGCACCGCGTCCTCCCGATATAACGGGTAAAGAGGGTTATTGCTGGCAATCAGATGTCAAAGGTCAGAATGGCAAGAACAGAAAAGTCTGGATAAAATGAGGATGATGCCTTTAGGAAGACCACTTCCTGTCTGGCTTCAAAAGCTTATTTGTTTAAAAATTCAAGTTCAAAGTTCAAGATAAAAACCTGTGAGTCATATTAAACCTTGAATACTAATGATTACACTTTTAAAGCACTAAACCGGTGACAAAAAAAATGCATAGCAAAAGAAACTGCCAGGAAAGGCAAGATAACAACTCATGTGAGTTTTATGGCTGCCATCATGCCAGACCAACATAACTTTAGCTTTGCTAATGTAGATATGAGAGCAATTTTGGATGGTGCTACAATTCTAGAGTGTGAAACAGCCGCGGACAATGCAAAGATTATTAGCTTTCTTAGAAAACATCTAAACAACAGGGAAGGATGTTAACACATTCTCCACACATGGTCGAAGTCCCTGAGGTGACCAACAGTCTGAATGATATCAAGGACAGTCTGGATTTTTGGAAAATGCTGAAAGAGTTATGAGAGCCAAAGTACTTGGTAGAATCCGTCTTGATCAAGCTCGTTTTATCCAGTCAAAAATTCTGTAGTCATAGGAACACTATATATTCCTTCCTCTTGAACAATATGGATTTAGCTACTAATGTTTTGGGTTTATTAGGCTTCTATTTGATAATGGACTGGTACTTATGTAGTGCATTTATACTCAATTTGAGCACTCAGAGCACTTTCTATTACAAGTCTCATTCATCCAGTCTCACACACACATTCATATAGTGCAACATTTGCTGAACATTTGGACTTCAGGTTGGCTGTAGCTTGAGAGGTAGAGCAGATCATCTAATAATTGTAAGGTTGGTGGTTGATCCCTGTCTGCTCTAGCCTGCATGCCAAAGCGCCTCGGGCAAGATACTGGAACATTCCGACGCGATCACTGCAGTCTGAATAGTAGGTAGAAAGCACGTCATAAGAACCACTTCGTTTATAATTTACAAGGAAATTTCAACCGACTGGAGTAGCTAGGGAATGAACCACCAACCTTTCGATTGCTCGACAACCTGCTCAACCCGATCCACAGCCGCTGATAATATAAAAACACTGGCATTATTTCCACAGCATTTTGACTCATGTAGACATACTGCACAGCTGCTGTTACCTGTTGGAGCAGTGATTTCCAAGGGATACAAATAGGACACATGCACTATAAGATAATGCTGCACACAGTAAATGATCACCTGGACAAAGTCTGAGGCACTTCATCAGACTCGATATCGCTTGAGAACAGCTGAGTTTTAATAGCCTAAACACGGTGTTACTTATTACAAACGTAATATTTGCATATAGTCACTTTTTTGGATAAGCTCAATAAGGATAGAGAGAGATGGAAATACATATTTATAACTTTATGGGGAAAGACCAATAAACTCACAATAAATTATCTCCAATAAGCTCTCACATGCAAGAATCTTTTGACGTACATGATAAGACAAATACTGTAGTTTGATTGCAGATTAAAGCATCAACTTGCTGTGCTCCCAAATCTTCTCTGGTGGCATCTTTCCCTTTCTACCCTCACGTCCCATCTTGTTTTTCTAATTTTAGCTCTTCAGGTACCTTTTTTAGTTTCTTCTTCTGTTGTCATGTTTTGGGCCCATCTCAAATCCCCAACACACAGATACTTACCTGTGAGGAGGCGGCTGGCTCGGTGACCGTGACCTCATTCTGACCATGTCGGAACGGGAGCAGTGATTGGGAGAAATCACTTGCTCTGGCACTGAGAGGGTGGAGCTATGGAATTCGCGCCCATTCTGTCTGTAGTCTGCACACAGAGAAACAGAGCAGGAGTTCAACCATCAACCCTGACTCAGTTATTTTGTAATTTCAAGTTATGCAGTCACATTTATGTCATAATCCTCAAATGGTTTACCTTAAGCAGTTTGAGGAACTTATAAAATGATTAGATTCCCATTGTCTTACAGCAGCATGTTTTTAATCCACTTGAGCCAGTTAGTATTCTCTCCTGTATCCTTTAAAATGAGACTGCAGTGAATGATGGGATATGGAGTTTACCTGATATCACCCCAATGCCGTCTTCACAGTCATAATCTGAAAACTCGCTGTCACTGATCCTCTGAGACCCTGCAGATGGAGAGAGGGAGGACATTTAAGCCTGTAAGCAGCTCATCTGTAATCTTCTACAAGAAGGTCAACAAATCTAACACTCCAGACCGAACAGCCAGAGGACAAACCAGTTAACGCAGGAGCAATAAAAGACACATTCATCTGATATTACACACAGACTCCCTTAAACCTTTTACAACTCCTTGACCAGAACCTTTTCATCCACATCCACATCAGCCTTTAACAAATGCGTGAAATTTAACAGCAGTCAGAGTTTCGGACTGAATGCTGAAATTAATAATTTTCTGGCCACACAAAGGCCAGCATGTTTATACACAAATAAGATTTCTGCATTAGTCCCAAAAGTGAAGCAGAGTGGTCAGAGTTTGATGATAGGTGGCTGCATGAGAGATTAAGGTACTAGAAAGAGAACATTTATAGATGGCATCATGAGTGTGTATCAGTGTACCCAAATGAAGTCAACTTCCTGTTAAAGCATAAAAACATCCAAACAAAAGATCCAAGGAGGAAAGTAGAGATGAGTGTGTCACTTGCTCTCATCTTTTAAAGAGAAATGTGGAGCAATAAAACCCATCCAGCAAAGATCAGCTGGAAGAAAAATATAAAGAGCGATAGAACACCTGTGGGAATTTGAGCAGCACTGACCTCCTCCGTCCTGAGGAGTCCATGCTCACGACTTTAACATGAGTCTCTCTGCAGAAATAAAGCTGGACATAACAACTGCATCACTGTTATAGAAATGATGCAGTGATCACTTCTGTTCTCTGATTTATTTTTCTGTTGTGAACTCCAGATCAGCAATGGGTCATATTTTGTTCCACGGGGCCATACAGTGCTATCAATAACATAAATGAAGTCCAACTCACAGGATAATTGAACTAAAACACAGTTACAGGTTACAATGGCAATACTGACAAAAAAAAATCTGCCTTCGAAATTAAGCAACATTTTGACCAGCTATCTGATATGTACCACTGGTTAGGTCATTGTAGCCGTTCACCTGAGGATTTCCAACCATAAAACTCCTCATAAAACTGTGTCTTAGTTGTTGTTTTTTTTGTTTTAAGAAGTTGAATTGGGCTGACCATATGTTCATATATTCAACATCCTACACCAAGAACGTCCAATTGACTCCTCCTGGTACAACATCAAAGATCTCCCACAAGAAGATCCAGAACTCCCTTGAGAGATTTACCAATAATCCATTGAACAGTCTGTCCAGAACCTTTTCATGCACAGTTTGACATGTCTTCAAGTATTATATGGAACCCAATAACCTTCTGGATGCACTCGCTCTAATCAATCATTCCAGGATCCAGGCAGCTAGCTCTGTTCTAGTCCCTCAAAGATCAAACCCTAATCATCAAGTTTTGAGTAGCTGAGGTACAGATATTTCAAGAACTACGTCTCCCATGATTTGGCTACATAATATCTTTCATGAGAGCTTTCTGCCTGGTAAAATAACATTTAATTGCATCACTATGATATGATCAGGCAGGGCTATATTTGTGCAGCAATTATCAATCAATGACTTATTAAAACTATAAATAATAAATAGCACAGGAAATGGATAGCTTAGCATCACACAGGGAAATGCCATAGAGGTCAGCATTAGCAACAGAGGGTCAGAAGCTCACTCGTGCATGCACACACACACACACACACACACACACACAGGCGCACGTTTTTACCTGAGTTATAGTAATGACCTTTGTCTAGCAAAGCGTTGTGGATGATTTAAAATAAAGAAAAACAAATGAAACAAAAGAAGAAGAAGAAGACGTTAACAATAAAGCATAATAAACAAATAAAGAAATGAATGAAAGGACTGGTGTTGGATTGGATCTGCCAGAGGCCTGCTCTGCTGTGACTGGTTGTTAGGTTGTTGGACTAAACATTCACTGATGAAATAAGCCCAATCCAACATTCTTTCATTTTGAGCTCTTCTACAATTGACTTCAGGGGCATACACGTAGGAAGAGCCCAGCAGCAACGTGGCAAGCAGAGACCATCGTGTTAGTGAAGCAAAGTGACTGTATACCGAGGTTTTTTCTCCCTTTTTCTTTGCTACTACCCGCTGACTACCAACAGAAACAAAGGCTACCATTGATAGACATGTTAGAGGGTTTCAGCAACCAGAAGCTGGACTCTCCATTAAGTCTGCAAAAAGATGAATGTCAAGTTTTGGACTCCTTCACTCATTTGACTTTTGTCAATTTTTCGCAACAAATCTCAGAGTTCACCTTTCTTCTCTGACTCTATAACATGGTAAACCAGTTTGAACAAAACTTTAGCAACCGACTCATTTTCCAGTGATCAGAGCATGTATCAACTACAGTGAAATTACCAGTCCCAGCAGAGGAGAGCATCCCTCCAAATGATCCATCAATTAATATGTTGTTGTGTGAGGTTGTGACACAGGTTTATTGTGTGTGTGTGTGTGTGTGTGTGTGTGTGTGTGTGTGTGTGTGTGTGTGTGTGTGTGAGTGAGAGAGAGAGTGTGTGTCTTACTCTGCAGCCTCCTGCTGCTGTGTGTGTGCTCAGCTTGCAGTCCCCTCCTCTGCAGGTAGGGGGAGGCTTTGGGCAGTGGCAGTGAGGAAACGTCATGAAGCTGCAGTTTGTACCAGTGAGGCTGATCATCGAGCAGAGCCGACTCCATCTCTATCAGGATCTGGCTCAGGAGAATGGATACAAAACATACAGAGAACACTAAGAATATACAGAGTATGTAGAAAGGAGAACAAATAAAGAACTGGGAGCAAACACATGGACCTGTTTTAACATTTTCAGTGCTAATTAACACTAGAATCACAAAGGGGGTCACTTTGACCCCTTGGAATTTTCAAATTCTGTTAAATTAAAATTCCATCATCTCAGACTTCATAACTTTTCCGAAAATGTGTTTAATCATCTGTGAATTTAAGGGTGTGTGGGACAAGAAAAAAAATCACGATCACTTATATTCAGAACTGCAGAGGACGTTATTCTGACCCCAATAAGTAATGTAAGACAACAAGTCACACTGGGTTGCCTAGCAACATGCATCATTTATTGGTATTTTGATATGTAGGCTGCAATAAGATGAACCAGTGCTAGGGATCTATAGTTCAATAAAAACTGAATAATTACTGCAGGACTGAACAGTAGGAATGGATAACGGTATCCGGTGCCATTATTATCTAACATAAACGATAGTAACCAGACCGAAAAGCAGCGCACATTTCGGTGCTTTTTTTCCTGAAATGTCATACACTTTGGATTCTAGCCAATCATTTTACCTAGAAAGGCTGCAACCACCAAGTACCTGCAGAGGGTCAGGCAAGTCCTGAGGAGTCAGCTGAATGGTAAG